AATTCTCTGCAGAGTTTGGCGGCAGTGCTTCTGGACTTTTGTAGCAGCATGCAGCTGGGGCATCGATCGCGGGGCGGTGTTGACCTCCTGGATCGGCGTGGGGTTGGCGTCCGATAGTAGGCCAGGAGGGAAACGTCGAGACGTACAAAGAGCCGGTGACAGCGTGCCCTGATGATGCTGGCAGAGACAGACGACGTGAAGGGCCCTTCTTTGAGAGAGGCTGTTTCGGAGGGAAGGCGGTCGGAGTGAGTTTCTGACGACGACGGAAGAGACGAAATGAAGTTCGGTGGTCCACCGTCCAGCAAGGCTAGGTACTTCAATCAGTTGTGGATCAGAACTGCCTCCAATCGTGGACTGCCTTCAGCAAGTCGTGCTACCTCGAACAAGTCGTGTAGATGCCCACCAGAACTGCGTGACGAAAGGCGACAGGTGGTGAAGATGTTGCCGGAGTTCTGAGCCAGATGGAGCAGAGACGACAAGCAAGGGGAAGAAATGTCGAGTTTCAATGCGACGCGCACAAACAGACTGGCTACTGCTACTACTTACTACTACCTTAGTCTCTCAGGTACACCTCACCTCACCCATTCCCCGTCCCCGCCCACGGGACATCCCACCACTAGCCTCAAATGTGCTGCTGCTCGACAAGCGACTGACCCCCTCCCTCCCCTCCCCTCCCCTCCCCCTTTCCCCTCCCCGGCCCTCCGCTCAGGTCCCGGGCCCCGTCCGTGGTACAGCACCGCTCAAGCCCTCCCAAAAACACGTTACCCACGCACCGGCCTTCAGGGGCTTTACAGTGGCTAGTGCCCGCCGTGCTCCTCGCCCCTGCCCTGGGAAGAACACCTCCACACTCTGAGCGCAAGGTGACAGGTGACATCACTTTGGTCTACGACATCTCTCTTGAGACGACCCCTCCTTTGCCTGTCAAGGGATCGATATCAGAAACGAAACAAGGGTGGCATTTTGGTTATGACTACATGGGGAAAGTGACTGAGATTAGCTCATGTACCATGCCGTCGTGCTGAAGGCGCGCTACAGAAATAGCAGACTGAATGTCGGGGCGTTATGAACCATTGGGTCTTTATCGTAGCGCACCTTATCCCTTATCGGGCTGCGATCGTTGGGGCAACGGCGTCCCGCACCCACCAAGCAACACCTGGATACAACCCAAACAGGAACCACAGGTGTTGGCGTCAGGCATGCCTTCGGGGGGGGGGGGATCCAATCCCGACTGAATGCCGCCCGTTGACCAGGACATGTTCCCCCCCCCCCCCACACACGACGCATCAAAAACAACACTCCAGTATTGGGAGTCGAGCACGAGCTTCAAATACACCACACGACCGAGACATCCACGGCCAGCCGCACTTTCTTACCCTCGTCCCGTCAACGATTCCACATACCAGCAGCGGCAGAGGAAACAGCTACTTCTCAGCACACATTCCTTGCCGCCTGCGACAACCCTTCTCGGCATCCTGCAAGACCCCTGCTTTGACCACCAACCTACTGCCCGAATCCTCAGGGACCTCGACCTTGACCCCGACGTCGTCCTTGCTTGCATGCTCTGATTATCCGGTATGTAGGTTTCCAGTTTTCAGCGTTTTGGTCGCCTCTGCCGCCGTCGCCGTCGCTGTGCTCCCCTGCCTCCCGCATCTGTCCGCAGCCTCGGGTCTCTCCAGGTCCAGCGGTGTAACAGGATGGACCGCCAAAAGTCGGCTCGTTCCTTGCTGAAGCTAATCAAGAAGTTTGCCAGTCCAGGAGGTTCAGACGCCGACCCGCACCATTATCACAACGCCGCACGAGGATCGAAACAACCTGCCCTCCCAGACACACCCTCCAAATACCGAGCGCTTGTCGCAAAGACCGCCACCATGGGTGACGAGCCCGACTACAGCTCGCTGCCACTGACCGACCAGTGGGTGCACAAGGTACGCTGCCCCGAATGCAGGCATGCCCCTCTCGATGCGGGCCCAGCTAACGCGTGCACGATGCCAGGTCTGGAAAGTGCGCAAGGGCGCATATGAAGAGGGAGCCAAGCAGTTCGCTGCCACCGCTGACGAGTACGATGCCGCTTTCAAACCGTTTCTCCAAGATGCCAGCCTCTGGAAGGGCGCTGTCGCCGATTCGAACGTGGCAGCGCAGCAAGAAGGCCTGGCCGCATACTGCGCTTTTCTCAAGTTTGGCGGCAAGGAGCAAGGCACGAGGACACGCGGTCAAACGATCGGCCCCATCGTCGAGAAAGGCCTGACATCTACAAGAGCCGCGGCCAAGGAGTCGGCACTCGAGGCTCTGCTTCTCCTCGTCGAGGTCGATGTCGCCGCGCCAGTCATCGAAGACATGCTCCCGGCTCTCGCGAACAAGCAGCCGAAGGTGGTCGCCGCCACGTTGAATGCGCTCGTCACCATATATCACAACTATGGTTGCAAGACTGTCGACCCCAAGCCCGTCCTGAAAGCTCTTCCCAAGGCGTTCGGCCATGCCGACAAGAACGTCCGCGCAGCGGCGATGAGTTTAGCCGTCGAATTTTACAGGTGGCTTCGGGAGGCTATGAAGCCCATGTTCTGGGGAGAACTCAAGCCCACACAACAGACCGACTTGGAGGCGCAGTTCGAAAAGATCAAGGCCGAGCCCGCGCCAAAGCAGGAGCGGTACCTCCGAACGCAGCAAGAAATCATGGCACGAGCACCGCCACCGGGCGAGGAAGGCGAGGGCGACTACGGCGCGGATGAAGAGGAGGAGCCTGCCGAGGTGGACGCATTTGACTTGGCTGAGCCACAAGATGTCTTGAGCAAAGTGCCGGCTAATTTTACCGAAGCACTTGCTTCGTCGAAGTGGAAGGAGAGGAAAGAAGCCCTCGAGGCGCTGTTTGCGGCGGTCAACGTTCCGCGTATCAAGGATGGCGATTTCAACGAAGTCAACCGGGGTCTTGCCAAGTCGATGAAGGATGCCAACGTAGCTGTCGTTACCCAGGCCGCCCAGTGTATCGAGGCTCTCGCCAAGGGTCTGCGCAAGAGCTACGGGAAATACCGAACCGTCGTCATGCTTCCCATCATGGAGAGACTGAAAGAGAAGAAGCAGGCCATAGCCGATGCGCTCGGCGCCGCTCTGGACCAGGTTTTTCTTGCCACTTCCCTGACGGAGTGCATGGAGGATATTGTGGCCTGTTTGTCGCACAAGAACCCTCAGGTCAAGGAGGGGACCATGAAGTTTCTCATCCGGTGCTTGAGAACCACACGCGACGTCCCTAGCAAGCCAGAGATCGGTACCATCGTGGAGTCTGGCAAAAAGCTCCTCTCCGAGTCTAGCGAGGGTCTGCGCTCTGGAGGTGCGGAGGTTTTGGGAACGGTGATGAAGATCATCGGCGAGCGTGCCATGAACCCCCATCTCGAGGGCCTCGATGACATTCGAAAGACCAAGATCAAGGAGTTCTTCGAGACCGCCGAGGTCAAGGCCAAGGATAAGCCGAAGCCGCCTCCTCCGGCTGCAAAGCCACCCCCAGCTGCTGGCCCGAAGAAAATGGTCAAGAAGGCGCCGGCCGGTGTAAAGAAGCCCGTCATGCCAGCGGCAACCCCGGCAGAGTCTGCCCCTCTGGCCCCCCAAACATCGTCCCGCCCCACACCAGGAGGAAGCAAGCTCGGCATGCCGAAGCCATCCGCCCTGGGCGGCCTCAAGGGACCTCAGAAGCGCATCGGGGCCCCCAGCGCTGCCTCGCCCCGACGCGCGCCTGCAGCAGCCCCGATCATGCCGCCCGAGGACGACGAACCACCACCACCACCGCAACCCAGGCTTGGCCTCGGCCGCGGAGGATTGGCTGGAAGGTCACTGTCGAAACCCTCAACAGCGCCCGTCCAGATGCCCCCGTCGTCGCCACCACCCTCGAGCGGCCTCACAGCGCTTGAGCGGGCAGAGCTTGAGGAGCTCCGTGCCTCGAATGAGAGACTGACACGTCAAGTGGATGATATGCGACATGAGCGGAGCAAATTCATGTCGGAGATTCAAGAACTCAAGAACCAAAATGCCGGTCTGATTGAGGACCACACACGGGATGTGCTCAGCATCAAAGCCAAGGAGACGCAGCTTGTTCGGGCACGGAGCGATGCCGAAGCGACCGAGCAAGTCAACGAGCGACTGCGACGCGAACTTGACAGGTTAAAGAGAGCTCTCAACAACGCCGATAGTCTTGGTTCCCGGACGAGTGTCACGAGCCCCGGCATTGCGTCTCCGACGCATGATGATGCTGGCATCTACCGCGACTACGGGCGTCCTACGAGTCGCAGTCGCATGAGCTTCACGAGCACCATGTCTGAAGAGAAGGAAAACGGCGAGTCAAGCTATCCTAGGTCGAAGCTCAGCCCCGAATTCAGACAGGGGCCGACCGGCGTGTCGTCAGGTCGCGGCAGCCCAGCGAGGGGCTTCCGGAGCGCGGCAGCAACCCCGCCGGTGGAGGACTATGGCGGCTCATCTCACCATTCGGCCGCGTCGGGCTCAGGCGCCGGCACTAACGGTGTTGAAAGCTGGAAGCGGGCGGCCGAGGTGACGAGCCAGCTCAAGGCGCGAATCGAGCAGATGAAGGTAAGCAATCCCCTGCTGCATGTCTGATGCGCGTCTCTAACATGGTGACAGGCGAAACAAGGACTTGCTCGTCCATAGATAGTCTCATCCGATGAGGCTATGAGAAAAGCTCTCTTTGAGCGCGTAGGACTCGACGAGGTTGGGTGTCCGCCTCGACGGGTAGGTGCTTTGGTTTCTGCGATTGCATATCATCGGCGTCGGAATCATACCCATTCTATATTGATTCTCTTATGGCGGGTCGGGCGGCGAGCAGGGTGTTCCTTCTTGCATGAGCTATGGAAATGGGTTGGCCGTACTCCCGCCTCGGCGTAAATAAAGCTGTTAATTCATGACATTGATGAACAACTAGCAACGGGCGGCAAGCTCGGTGCATCTCTGCACGCTTCTCCTAATGGGTGCCTTATGCTCCAGCACAAAGTGTAAAAAGCCAGCGCGTACGGTTCACCGGTTTGGGTGTTGGCCGTGAGCAACGGCCCAAGGCTCGCTGAGCCTTGGGACAGTCAGGCCGCTCACGGCGGCCGCAGGACAACGAATGACGATGGCTTGTTAGTTGACGCGTGTGTTCACGAAGGGCCCAACTGCAGGACAGCCTGGTGGGCATGTGGGAGGGCTGTTTCAATGTTCTCGCACAGCCAGCTCGATAGGTCTGTCCACATGGACTGCTGGGCGAGAGGGTGCAATAAATAAGGCCACCAGGAAAGCTCTTCTACCATTGACGAACGGCCCATCTATCTACCTTTTTTTTTTTACTTCTTCAGAGCACCCAGTCTCAACATGGCTGCGGTGGCGACCAACGATTTTGCGGCGCGCCTCGGAGCTTTCCAGGCTCAAGACGATCAACGCATGCAATGGCTGCGGGTGAGTCCTGGCGAGCTACCTTCAATGCGATGCGACCCGTCCAAGCCTGACCCCGGCGTACCAGAGCATGCACCAAGAGTTGTGTGATATCACGGACAAGTACCAGAATTTGTGCGGTGACTTGGAGCGAGAGAAGATTGCAGGGCGCGGGTTGCAGACCGATTCCAAGCGCTGGGAGGATCGTTTTACCAAGCTGGACGAGTCAGTTGTAGGTACGCCCTGTTCGCGAGCATAGCATGATACAGCAAGCAGAAGATTTAATTCCGTGCCTCTTTTAGAGAGAGAGCGCGTTTGTGCTCGTCCTCCTCGACGCCGACGCCGACGCATACATGGCGAGTAGCCCCCTCCCCCCCACCCCCTTCTCTTCCCATACTCCCAACGTCCGGGCCACGAGCGCAAAAGCTCCAACACCTCGCTGACGGCGTCCGCGGCCGACAGTTCAGACGCGAGTACTACGCACGACGGGACGGCGGCCAGGGCGCGGCGCGCGATCTCCAGGCGGCGCTGAGGCAGTACATCGGGCAGACGATGCCAGAGCTGTCGGGGCTGCCGATCGTGCTCAAGGCTTTCGCCAACGCCGACGGGCTCGCGGACACGCTGGTGCGCACAAAGATGACGCGGTCGTGGAGGGACCTGTGGGATTTTGCCATGAGCTTTTCGCAGGCATGTGAGACGTTTGATTTTGTCCTTGTCGGCAGTGGCAAGGACAGGGCGGATGAGAAGATCAAGGGTGCGTGGCCCTCTCTCTCTCTCTCTCTCTAGCCTCCTCTTATTGTCCCGAAACAGGCACTGACTTAATGTACAGAGCTGTTGAGGCTGTTCCACAAGAATCCGACGTGCCGTCACGTCATTTTTGGCGCATGCCATGATAACGGCTACGTTCGCGAACTGGAGAAGCGCTTCCCCTCGCCAGAAGCCAGGGACCGTCTGACACTGCTCGAGTCGTTCCAGGTCGGACGGGAGTATCGGTCCCTCGGCGTCAGCAAGACCGTCAGGATGGAGAGTATTTTCCGCACCGACTTTGTGTCGGGGCCCGTCTCCCCGCTGCTCTCCTCGTCGACAACGGCGATCAGCCGAAGCCCGACGGCCAGCAGCGGCGGCGTCTCTTCCGAGGGCCACGCCACGCACCAGGCATCCACGTGGGCTCGAGCAGCAGCGCCGTCTCCGTCTGACGAGGGCGCTGCCCAGCACGGCGGCACTGGCCACACGCTGCTGTCGACCGCGACGGCGCGCAGGTTCCTCGACTTGGAGAGCGGCGCCATTCTCGTGAATGCGCAGGGCCAGCGTGTCGATGCAGAGCTGCCGGCTCTGGCGCCGGGCGCCGCGGCGAGCTGGAACCGCAAGACGAACGAGGGCGGCATGCGGTTCTGCCGCACATTCCAGTTGTCGGGCAGGTGCGCCAACAAGGTGGCGTGCGGATACAGCCATGCGACGCTGCCGGAGGGGGAGAGGATGGTGTACCGATCGATGATGCGGCGTCAGAAGTGTCACGTCGGACCGGGCTGCCGGGACCGGACGTGCTGTTACGGACACCACTGCTCGTGTGAGGGCACCAAGTGCAAGTTTCCTGGAGCGCAGCACAGGATCGACGTTTCTTCGGCTGTGCGCTACACGGCGGCTACGTAAAGTAAGGCACTACCTACCTAGGTAGGTAGAGAGGGAGGCGTTGGAGGGAAAACGCCATCGTACGGCGGCTCGTCTTCTGGCAGCACCCTCCCTCGTCCACCAGCGAAGGCGTGATGCTGATCCAGACGGCGGATCGTAAGATGGCGTTCGCGAGGGCATGGCAAACACGCGCCGCGCTGACCATTTGGCGTGACGTGGTTGGCGTGGAGGCGCGGGACGAAGAGGCCCTATTCCCTTGTTGGGCTTGGTCGGAGAGGACGGAACCATCCCGGGATTCGCCGACCCACCGAGCCACCCCCGTGAGCGAGGGATCAGTCCATGTTTTGTCACGGACTGCTCTGACCATCAGGGCCACGTTTACCGGGCCTCGCCTTTTCACATGTTGTTCTTTTCTGGGAGGGGAGCGTTGACGGAATCAATGGCAGTGCGACAGACGGCCTGGCTGGCCTTCTTGCTGACTGTCTGACCGGCTCAATGGCCTTGTGAGACGCGGTCTGCTTACACTTGCTGATGAATGACAATATGTACATCTCCGGTCGGGATTTCCTGGGTTGTCCTGTGTTGTCCTGGGTTGAGCCTGGCAAGGCCCTTGTTCGTACGCAGTCAGGAAAAAGTCAATTTGAGCATAGGGTCCCAGGTAGAGCGCACACGTCGTCGGCCTACGAGGGCCAAGACCTGCATGGCCCGAAGAAATCTTTCTGTCGCTCCGCGCCTCGCAATGCGAATATGACAAATGCCAGCACAGCGATGGGCCCATGGCCTACCCAGGACGTGGGGGACGCCTTGACGAGTGACAGTACAAGCCGCCTCTCCTAGGGAGAGAAAGACAACGGAAAGAAAGCCTGCTAACGAAGCCTCCCGCCAGCCCGGCCGGGACAGGGCTTTTGCGGGGCCGCGGAGATGTATCGTCGGCAGATCATGCCACCCGGAGAACCTCAGCGGAACGGAGAGCCTGCGGAGCCGCAAGGCGCGGTCACGCCCGATGAGTCTCGACTCTCTTGTCAGTTTTTCGCTCACGCACGGGAATAGTGGCCTGTTGACGTCGACCGTGAAACGAGCCGTGAGTCGCCATGGTCTGGGGATCGAGCAAGACATGCTGGCCGCAAACGGTCCTCTTGGAGTCCGATAAATAGGGTGTTGGCCTACCCACCTCCTGTCCATCGTGAAAGACGAGCATCATCATCATCATCATCATCATCATCACTACCATCACAGGTCACTGACCGCACTCATAACCCCCCACCTGTCTACTCCACAACCACTACAACTCCCACGACAACTCTCTCCACCCCAAGGCGTCTCGCAAGCCTCCACACTCCCTACACTTTGGCAGCATCCCGCATGTCCTATCTCGCCTCGTCCCGCTCGCTCCTGCGCAACCCTCGCGCCGCTATTCGCCTGCCCACCACCATCGCTAGGACATTCTCGTCGACAACGCCCAACATGGCCATGACCGAAGCGCAGACGGCCATTGTCAAATCGACGGCCCCCATTCTCAAGGAGCACGGCCTCACCATCACCACCGTCTTCTACAAGAGCATGCTCGGCGCCCACCCCGAGCTCCACAACGTCTTCAACCTTAGCAACCAGCGCTCCGGCGCCCAGCAGAAGTCCCTCGCCAACGCCGTGCTCGCCTACGCCACCCACATCGACGAGCTCCAGAAGCTCGGCCCCGCCGTCGAGCGCATCGCCCAGAAGCACGTCAGTCTCGGCATCACCCCGGATCAGTACGCCATTGTCGGCGAGCATCTCATCAAGGCCATCGCCACCGTTCTCGGCGACGGCCTGACGCCCGAAGTGGCCGACGCCTGGGTCGCCGCGTACGGCCAGCTCGCCGACATCTTCATCAAGCGCGAGGGCGACCTCTACGACCAGGCCGGCGACTGGCGCGGCTGGCGCAAGTTCCGCATCGACCGCCGCCAGCAAGAGTCCAACACGGTCACGAGCTTCTACCTCAAGCCCGCCGAGGGCGACACGACGGGCCCGCTGCCGCCCTTCCTGCCGGGCCAGTACGTCAGCATCCGTGTGCGCGTGCCCGAGTACGGCGACGTCTGGCAGTGCCGCCAGTACAGCATGAGCGAGGCGCCCCAGGGCGACCACTACCGCATCAGCGTCAAGCGGGAGCGCGCGGCCGAGACGCCGGCGCCACGTCCGCCGATCACCCGGGCGTCGTGTCCAACATTCTGCACGACAAGTCCCAAGTTGGCGGACGGGATTAAAATCACATACCCGGGCCGGCGGGGTTCTCCATCGAGGTCAACGAGCCCACAAAGGCCGAGGCCCCCCTTGGTGCTCCTCTCCCGCCGGTGTGGGTGTCACGCCCATGACCTCCATCCTCGACTCGGTCCTCGCCGGCCCGAGTCAAAGATGACAAGCGCCCCATCCGCTGGTCCACGCCGGCGCGGGGAACGGACCAGATGGCCTTTGCCCGCTCACATCAAAAGGTGAGGCCGACCACGCCACGTCAAGTCCAAGGTGTTCCTTAACAACTGTCGTCGAAGGCGAGGAGCAGGCCAGGCCTACGACTTCCAGGGCGACTCGACCTCGACGTCCTCGACGGGGCCAGGACCTCGGCCTCAACTCCAAGAGACGGATACTTCGTTTGCGTCCAAGAGTGATTGTCCGAGTTTTGCGCAGCTGGAGCCTGCGTTGACGTGAACCGTCAGGCTCGAGCTGTCGGCACGCGATGCTGAGACTCTAGATTCAGCAGCTTGCTTCTTACAGCGTGAGATGATTTTCTTGTGCCATAGTTGCTTACCTTAAAAGTATTGAATCCTTGCTCCACCTTGTGTGACATTACTTTTGGTGCTGATGAGTCGTGAATGTGAGTACCAGGTACGCTGGAGTAGCTGGTAGAGCCACGGAGGTGAAGTATTGATCACGAAGGGTGTATGCCCTGCATTTCACAATTTTTGGTCGCTGTAGTTGCTTATGACGAAGATATTTTTAAGTCGAAGGGTCAACCCCTTCTTCTGAACGCCAGCCCTTGCGTCAGTTCGCATGGCCCTCAGGGGCTGGCGGTAGTAGGCGGTCGAAGTTGCTGCTCCGGCCTCGAAGTACTGACATCAACTCAGGATACAAGCCAGGGAACTGAACCAGCCTATAGGAGTATTAACCTTATTAGGTAGTTCCCCATAAACTGTGGCGGAATCAAGGAGAGTGTTGGTCAGTGAATCTGGGTTGACAGGAAACTGACAACGGTTTCTACCTCACTCAGCTCAGTCAGCGATGCGAGGTGAGATCATGAGGGCGCAGCGACCAGGAATGGGCCTTCGACAACTGGTTTTGGGCTCATGATTGGATCGCACACTGCCAATCTTAGCCGCAGCTCGCCGACCCGCCTGAATGCAACACTATTTTGGCTACCCGAATGGGGCATCAACCTTCGAGCCATGCCCCATATTGTCGACCAGTCGCAGGTCCATGCAGAGTACAGCAGGGGTGCTTTCGGCGTTGCTGGCACGCCGAGCTGGTCAATTTGTCGTGTGTATCCTCGCCCAGATGTACAGCCACATGGTTGCATCTGTTGGTCTTCGACACACGTATGCGATCATTGTGCCGTGATGCCTTGAATTGTGATGGGGGTGTATCGAGAGAAATTAGAAAGAGGATGCTCCTGACCTGAACCGCCTGGAAGCCTCTGTGAGAGAGATACAGTGTTCGCTCGAAGTTGCCGCATACTGGTTTGTTTGAACGGCGGCCAGCGTCGGTGCTCAGCGTCTCAACGGTATCGAACAATGGGTACCTAGCAGGGGATAGGGCTGAAGCAGACCACCACCAATGAAGCCTTACAGAACCGCCCTCACAAGCGCCGAAGACGCCTACTGTCATCCGAAATAGCAGCCGCCCCCATCGCGCGCCGAACCCTCTTGGCGCGGAGGCAGTAGCCGTTTGACCAACACTGCCGACGGCCCAGGCACTCAGGTACCAGGCATCATTCGCTGTGCTGGGGGCGCGGGCACGAACAGTGGCAATCGCTGTCATCCTCAGACTGCCAAGCCTACCTCCGCGATCCTTCGCTTCAGTGTGATCAGCGTTGATCCATGTAATTCGACAAGGGAATGGCCCAGGTTGGCACCCACTTCCGACAGATCCCTGGTTGAGGTGCCTTGGGGAAATATCTGTCTCGTCGGCCTATGGCCCCATCGTTGTATTCTGTGTTTCCGTGCCCTCGTGCGTCCCTCTCTTACCCGATCGCCAACGTTAATCGTAGTCCCTTTCTTAAATCGTCCTCGAGGCGAGACTTGCCGTCGAACCTTGATCCAGCGACGCGACCGAATTCCTCCCCTTGGCCTGTCTTGTCTCGTCGAGTAGCGATCGTTAATTGAAAGTCGTCGATATGGTGCGCCCAATGAGGGGTAGCGTTGCCGTAGTCCTCGCCTTGTGTTTGGGCATGTGCAGCGCGCAAAATGATGCCGAAGACAACGAGCTTGGCCTCGCTGCTGTGCCTTCCAACGCAGACTTCTTGCGCAGGGCCACCACGCGAGCCACCCAGATCGGCGACTATGTCTATCTCGATGGCGGCGAGGTCTCGCAGCTCATCGACGGCAAAATACCTGGCGAGGACCGTCCGTCCAACGCAAGTAAGTGCGCCATGGTTTCGGTCGACGAGATGGGCAATGAAACTTACTCGACTATCCCTCAGTGAATCGCACACTCTCTATCGACATGTCAAAGTCATGGAAGCCCTCAGATGTCACGATCAACGAGATTCGCAAGACATCTCCCAACACGAACAGACAAGCCTTGTTCACCGACAAGTCCACCGGCTCATTCTACATCTGGGGCGGCCACATGTCTTGGGGTGCCCCGGTGCCGAAGAAGGAACTCTGGCGATTCACCGCAGACAGCTCCGGTGGAGGGGGCTGGACGACGCGGATCCCGGCCAACCCAGACGCGTTCAGTGAACTCAGGCGCACGGAGGGTGGTGCCTTTTGCAACACACCGGACTCGGCCTTCCACTTTGGTGGCGTGGCGACGCGCGCAACCGACGTCAACTATTCCGGCCCCGCGCCCGGCTTCGTCCACATCAACTTTACGACGCAGGCGTGGACCAACTACACAGAGGGGCCTTGGTCGGCCTTCAGAACCATCTATGCTGCGTCTGCCGAGTACGTCCCGACCTTTGGGCCCAATGGGCTCATCATGCTGCTCGGCGGAGAGACACGCGATCTCGGCGGCAGTGGCGGGAACCGTGGCTTGCTTGACTTCAAGAACTTGACCTTTATGGACCCAGTCACAAGGGACTTCCATTCTCAGCAGACAACCGGCAACGCGCCGTCGGGGCGGATCTTTCACTGCAGTGTCGGCGTCGAGGGCAAGAACGGGACGTATGAGATGTGAGTACCGTGAGGCCGAGTGCCATCATCGATCCAACGCTGACGTGAAGCAGTTTTGTCTTCGGCGGCCGCAACCAGCGCGATAACCAGGTGTATGACGACGCCTATGTCCTGACTCTCCCCGGCTTCCACTGGGAAAAGATCGATTACGAGCCGAAGAGTCCTCGCAGCGGACACGCCTGTCTCGTCGTCGGCAAGCGCCAGATGCTCAGCATCGGCGGAGTCAACCACGAACCCGGCATGCCTGATCTGTGGCTGGACCGAGACCCGTGGCCACAGGGCCTCGGTGTATTTGACATAACGGAGCTGAAATGGACGAATGAGTATGATGCCGGTGCCGAGGATTATGATTCACCCGAGGTCATCAAGTCATGGTACGCCGATGGGTATGTTTGTGCCTCTCCTATGTGAGGATCGTCAGCCACTGACCTAAGCAGCGGACTTGATGATGTTCAATGGACGTCCGGCGTTGCGGCACTGTTCCAACAGACGGACGATGGCGACGGCGACGGTGGTGGTGGCGGTGGTGGTGGCGGCGGCGGCGGCGGAAACGGCACTGATCCTGGGTCTGATAACTCAAGCTCAGCCCCTGTTGGTGCCATCGCTGGTGGTGTCGTGGGCGGCGTAGCGGCTGTGGCGATCGCTGGTCTCCTCTTCTGGTTCCTCCGTCGCCGGTCGCGTCAGCGAGCTGCCGCCGGGGGCACTGGAGGCAGCGAGGCTGGGGTCAGCCATTCGTCGCCGAGCAAGACGGCCTACATGCCAGTTTCGCCGTCGGTCATGGCAGCGTCAGAATTGGATCAGACTCACCGGGTTGAGATGCACGACTCATCACCAAAACCAGAGCTGGCGGCTCCGCAGCAGCTTGCGGTCGAGCTAGATGGGACAGGCGTGGGCGAGCAGGCGCCAAGGCACAGGTAACGAAGTCGTCAAGAGGGAGTTTGCATGTTGCTGGGGACCCATCAACCCGGGTGGGATCCAGTCGGTCGTTCGTTGGGTCGTGGTGCAGAATAGATTTCATTTCTCGGTCGTACAAAGACGGCATATACTCTTGATACACCTGTATGACTATTAACCATGATTAATTATTTTTCTCGAAGGACAGCGATTTCAGCAGGTGAAGCATCCTGGTGTCATGTAATTGGCATCCAGGCATATGCCTAGGTACCTAGGTAAGGTAAGGTAGGTAGTTAGGCAGGAGCTCCATAGTGCACAGCCACGCCGCACCCGCCAGCAGCTGGCAGAGGCAGCCCAGATGGGACACCGGAAGAATCTCGGGTAGAACTGCTCTCACAAGTCAGCCTGGCGTAACGTGTTAAACGTGGCGGACTTTTAGGAGGCATCCTGGAAAGCTATCGCGACGTGGTGCTTCAAGACGACAGAACCCCAACCCAACCTACACTCCCTTCCCATCGCCCGACTACCTTCTAAACACCACCTCTTCCTATTGCGAAAATGGACAACATGGAGCCGGAGCCTTCCCCCTTCGCCGCCGTCAGTGCGCAGGGCACCAAGATCCAGAGGGTACGCCCCTTCTTCCCTTTCCCCCTTGTCGCGAGCGCCCCCCGATGTTGCCGTCGTCGTGCGCAATGCGCACCTCAGCCTCAGATCGACGAAGACGATCGCTAACCTTACAACTCAACAGCAATATCAAGCACTGCTCGACCAGTCGACCCCTCACGTGCTCTACCGCTGGGTTGGCACCGGCGTCTGCCTGGTCGCCTTCTTCCTGCGCATTCTTCTCGCCCAAGGCTGGTACATTGTGGCCTACGCTCTCGGCATCTACCTTCTCAACCTCTTCCTCGCCTTTCTGCAGCCCAAGTTCGACCCTTCAAATGAGGCCATGGACAACGAGATGGAGGACGGGTCCGTCGGCACCCTGCCCACGAAGCAGGACGAGGAGTTCCGCCCCTTCATCCGCCGCCTGCCCGAGTTCAAGTTCTGGTACTGGGCTACCCGTGCAATTTGCATCGGCTTCATGTGCAGCTGGTTCGAGGTCTTCAACGTTCCCGTCTTCTGGCCCGTTCTGGTCATGTACTGGTTCATGCTGTTCATCCTGACGAGTGAGTGGGCTCTTCAGCCTCGCGGTGCCCCCCCCCCTTGCCGCGCCACGAAGTAAGCCTAGCTAACTCTACCTCCAGTGCGCAAGCAAATTCAGCACATGATCAAGTACCGATACGTTCCCTTTACGTTTGGCAAGAAGAACTACCGCAAGAGCAGCACGTAGAGCGCTGGGTAGGACGTGCAATCCGGAGATCATGCTCGAGTCAGAGCACGAGCTCGATAACGATACAGTGTGTTCTTTAATTATGTACAACACTCGGATAGACGGATACGACGCGGAAAGAATGAGACACGCGCTCTCTCCCCTCCCCTCCTTTGTATTTGGGCGCGTCAATATGTATGTATGACTAGACGCTCAGTCAAAGTCCGTGGTTTGAGAGAGCGAAACGGACGAATGAGGGGGGAATGAGTTGATGATCTGCCGACAGTCATATTACTCCTTGACTTGATTGGCATAATAAGCGTGTTTACTGATGACAAGGTGATCTGTTATCACGCATCCTAGCTCCCGCGTCGCAACAGACAGGGCTGAAAGCCTCGAGGCGATGATAAGCCGGCATAGGAATGAATAAACTGCCTAGATTATGGCCAATTCAGATTCGCTGTGGGACATTGACGCATGTTGTATGAATGTGCTGTAGGAGGCAGGCGGACGGTAGCTTTCGTTGCTTGTCGCGGCTTTGAGAGAAAACGGGCACTTGGACCTCAAAACTGGACCCACTTATCCACGAAGTTGAGCTTCACGTCGTCGGAGCACCACTGTCTCTTACTACACCAACTCGCAACCACGCCAACCACGCCAACCTCTCCCTCTAACCATTGTCATCCGTTCCTGTCCCTCAGACTACAGGCGCGCAGTCCGAATAGAAAGGCATCAGGCCTGAAACTCCGAAATGTCGTCTTCTGCGCCTCGCAGCGGCGAGCGCAACATCCACCAAGATTTTATCGCGAGGATCAGATATTCCAATGCGCTTCCCCCGCCGCCGAATCCCCCCAAGCTCCTCGACATACCCAACACTGGCCTCGCCAGCGGCCAATACACGAATCCGAGCTTTGCGTCGCGACTTGTGAGGGAACAACCACTGAACATCGAGGCTGATGCCGAGCTCGGCATGCCCCTTGACCTCGTGGGCATGCCTGGCATTTTCGACGGAGACGAAAGCTGTCAGTAGCATGCCGCCATTGAACGTGATGAATATTTCTCTTTAACACCATCTCTAGCCATTCAAGCATCATCCTCTCAACCGCATGTCCATCCCCACGATCGAGCCCTTCTCCGACCGCTGTCTACGCTTGGCAGGTCCAAGGGCGGCGACACATCTGTCTCCTTCCTTCGCCGTACCGAATACATCTCCTCTGTCGCCTCCAAGCGAGGACCGTCATCATCCAGTGCCTTCCTGAAACCCAAGATTAAGAGACCTGAGAAGCGAGTCGCACAGGAAGTCGATATTGGATCGCCTGCCGCCATCCGTCGCAAGATTGAGAAGTCCTTTGAAGCGGCTCAGCGTTACGCTAAGGAGCCGCGTTCCCTCCAGCATCCATCGAAGAAGCCTGGCCTGTCAGTCGTTGAATCGCACCCATTCTTGCCTGATCTTGACGCCTTCCCCGACCTCGGTGCGTACGTCACAATCAAGCTGCAAACCAACCCCGTCTCCACCGACAAGACATACGATGATCGCCTGCTCAGCGCCATCCTGCAGCCCATTGCAAAGACGGCCGAAGAGGAGGAGGCCTTCACAGCCGCATTGGAGGACCACAACCGCGACCCGGAAAATTTCCCTCGCCCCTCCAACCTCCTCGACTACCACTTCTTCCTCCCGATCAGCCAGCAGACCGGCGAGCGCTTCCGCTCCGCCTTTGACATTGACAACCCGGAGCGCGACTCGCCTGAGCTCTACACCCACAGCTCGAGCACCCTCGGCGGCCCCTGCTTCCGCTTCACGCGCCTACGCTCCTACGAGACGACAAAGGAAACCGAGATTGCGGCCGCCGACAAGTACACTGATGAACTCGTTGTCAATTTCAACGACCAGGAGGGCCCCGTCAGTGAGGGTTCCGATGTCGTCCGCCAGCGCGCCGCCTACTTTTATCCCGTCATCCAGCGCGCCACCATTCGCCCCCAGCGCGCAAAGAACATTCTTCGCTCGCAGAGTCAGATTGAGGACGACAGGGAGGTCACGACTCACATGGACGTAGCACTCGAGGATCCCGACGCCTCGTTTGCCGAGTTGGCGGCCAAGTATAAGGCTAACCCCTACCTTGGTCACGCTGAGGCGACGGAGGACCCCAACGCCGAGGACGGGGACGAGACTGTCGGTGGCAGGAGCAGGCGAGACGATGCCGATGATGAGGTGGCCGAGTCGCGCGCGCGCGCGAGCCGTTCCCCATCGGAGCAGGACGGCGACGCTGAGGGCGAGGAAGACTGATGAGCGTTTGGCATGGGGTCTCTGAGGCGTGCAGGGGTGATTAGGTTGCGAGATGTGTGCACAAATGTAAACAAAAAGGGCATGTGAATGTTCAGGTTGGGGGTGGCTGCCTTGCACGAGACGCTGTGAGCCTGGTTCAGTTGGCAATTCATATCGTCGAGATGCCCAAAAGTTTCATTCACATGAAAAGTCAAACAGCCGTGAATTCATTGCTCCGCCAAGTGCATCTGGTCTCAGAGGACTCATGATGGAAGAAATGAACAGCCTCAATATGGCGTCCCGTGCTCTGCAGCGGCAGATGCCTGATATCCTGATAATACAATAGACCGAACTCCGAGCGTAAACATATGCAGTCCAACCCATACTATAAATTCGCAAGCATGTACGTGTTCGGTCAGAAAATGCACGCTCTACAAGCCTCAATTACTTGCAGCATTCATGTCAAAGCCGATCGCCTCCCTGTTGTCGTCAATCACGCGGGCGTACCTAGCGACCGAGTTAGCATCAATGCCAGCGGCATCCCGCGAGTTTCATGTCGCAAGGGGTACTCACTCCAACAGCATCCTGAAGAACCACACCTCCATGTCCTCTTTCCTGAGCACCTTCCCAGCCCACTCGGTGCTCGCCTTGGCCAGCCTCTCCGCCTCCTTGATGCCGGCCTCCTCTTCGCGGAAGAAGCGGATGCTCTCAAGCCACTCGTCTCCCTGGAGGCTGAGCGGGATGTAGTGCGCCCACGGTTTGATCCATTCAAAGTGCCACTCGCGGAAGATGGCATATTTGAACGTCAGGCTCTTGGACCGCAAAAAGGCGTAGAACCGCCCAGAAAAGGCGTTGCCGTCAATGTCGAGCAGGTATTTGTAGGCCCACGCGTCCGTCTGCTCGGCGTGCTCTTGGACTTTGAAGAACTCGTGCTGCGCGTCGCAGTCGCCAGGGTCGCACTGTCCGACGTAGCTGAAGGCCACGTCAACGACGTCCCGGTAGTCACCGCGGGCGACCTCGCGGACCTCCCACTGTGGCGTGTTCGGCGTGGTGGGCGGCGCCTCGGGGTCGGCGCCCGGGGCCGGCTCGTTGGCGACGTCGACGAGAATTTGGGCATGCGCCTTTGCTGTTGATACGCTGGACGAAACGCTGGCGGTGCTGGCGCCGCCAGCCCCCCTCGCTGCTGTAGCCGCCCGTCGTCGAGCCGCGCCAGTAGAGCTGGTCCTTCTTCTCGGCCCAGGGCGCGTCGACTTTGTCGTCGTACTCGACCTTTTCGTACCAGTACCACGGGGACGGATAGAGGATGTCCTGATAAGAGGAGATCTTCGACTGCGAGAAAATAGGGAAGAGGTCGTGGGCAATGTTATACGCGTTTGGGGCGTCGAAGAATCCATAGGTGGTGGCCAATGACGGCGAGAGACAGATATCAGAGAGAGCGGTGATGTTGTAGACGAAACCCAGTTCTGTGACGCCAAATTTTGATGCATCATCATAGTTGCCCTCATCTTCGAGAGAGCGGGCGGGGCTGTCTGCCGGACAGGACATGCGAGATGTGGTCCACACCGGCTGGTGTGCATATACATTAAAGCGCGTAGTTTTGACCTCATTGATGCCGTCGCCACGGCCGACCTCCCTGGGCTTGGGAGAGAATTTGTTTTTGAGCCATTTCGCAGCATTGGCCTTGGGCATATTGACGTTTTTGGCAGTGTTGATGAGGCGTGCAAGATCCTCGTGGGGCAGCACCACACGTGGCTCGTCATGAATGTTGAATGCGAGATCCATGCTGGGCAGGTACTGGATGAACTTTGAAACCATACCAGCGGTCGCCTCGCGCTGCCAGGTGTGCGCACCCTGGACATGGGTGACTTGATGATCGCGGATCAGCATCATGACGAGCTGGTTGTCGTGGCCAAGCGCTTCCTTTGCCCTGGAACGAATTGTTTTCGGCTTGAGGCCCCAAAATGGCGTGATCATCTCGTTAATCATGTCGAACTCGTCCACAAGCTGGACACCGTTGGCTTTTGCGAACTCGAACCACTTGTCGAAGTGTGGTGGCGGCGGGAGATTATTGCGACGCTTGTACTCGTCTACAGCCTGCTGTAAAGTATTGGACTGTCGGGCTTTGAGCTTCTCCATCTCGCGTTCGGCTTCGGACATGAGCTGGAGAACAGGGTGGACGGCTTTGTCGGAGAGCGCCTTGGGACGCATCTCCGGCGGCGTCCTGCGATATCTGCGGGGACCATCCTCGGACGGGAACGTTGCTCGATCCCTTGCCTTTCTGGCACGGGCTTCTTCGGCGGCTGCCCTGTTGGCCGGTATGCGGATCAAGGACCAGGCACAGAGGGTCAAGAAGACGACGAGGCCGACGACAGTGAGCTGGCGTCTTCGGCGCATGGTGTCCAGGCTTTGAGGTCGCTGGTCTTGGTTCTGGATGTATCGCTCAAGGAGTCGTAGAAGGGCGGCAAGACAGGTGCTCCCGGTGTCGTTACACTGGTGCAGGTCGGCTGAGTTTGATTATGGATCTCATCGGAGCATCATTTCGTCGCAAGGTGGGATGCATGCAGGTTACTTGGTGCGGACCGAGTCGAGGCCAAGGTGGTACCTCAATTTCAGAAGGCCCAGATAAGATGCGCGGTCGTTTCTCCTGAGGTGCTGGCACGCCAAGGTTCAGGCCTAGGGATCTGCATTGGATCGAGCTCCATTGGTCACCCCTCTCAACCCCCCCCCCTTCCCTCCAAAAAAAAACCACGACTAGTGCCCATAGTAGAGCTATCACGACGCACCACTGCAGACTGGCGATGGCTGCAAGGAAAGGCCATGGTTGCTTGTGTTTCGACCGCCTGAATTGAATTACAAACCTGTCTTTTTTTCCCTTTCGCTGGGGAGGGGTTCCTGTAGATGTAGCCACAAGCGCGTGCTCGATGGCATCCACATTTGAACACGCACCATCGACTAATTCACCATTTGACATTCACAGATACAACGAAGCACGTGGTATCGGATCATTTGCGCGGGTTGATTGCAGTGTGCTCAATATGCAACTAGCTTGAGAGCTTCAAGTGGTATCGTATCGGCCAGAACTGGCAAACCCCCCTAACGCCGCATGATGCAGACCCAAGTCCAGAACCCTTCCGTCCGTACTTTTTTTTCATAATCCATTCCCTCCGCACTTTTCTCTAGTAGAAGAAGCCGATGATCTTGCCGGCAACGTGCTTGCGACGGGCCTCCTCGTGGTCCATGATACCAGCGGAGGTGGTCAGGATGACATAGCCGAACTGACGGGCGGGCAGCAGCTTGACGACCCACTTCTCGAGGTCGGCGAGACGGACGTTGTAGCGGGGGGAGATGACACCGCACTTGTTGAGGCGGCCGTTGAGCTGGACAACGATCTTGCCGGAGCGGTGGTCATCAACCTCCTCGAACTCGCCGATGTAGCCTTGACAGATAGATGTTAGTAATTTGTAGCAGAAGATTAAACCTTGGACGTCAGGGGATAAAATCAGAGAAGGTGTAAGATCTCTGCCAAAAGTTGATATATCGGCGT